GGGTGCAGGTGGCGGTGGGGGGCTGCTGGAGCACAGAGGACAGTCCCTGGAGCGCAGAGGACAGTCCCTAACCGAGCGGGAGGACACAGACAGGGACACAGGGCAGGGACGGTGGGGTGACGCGGGCGGGGGTCGAGACCCAGAGTTGGGGAGAGTCAGTCGGGGCCGCCCCAGCCCGGAGAAGCTGCGAGTTCTGAGCCCGGGAGGGGACGGCGGGGACCAGGCGGGCCGGTCCAGATGGGGCAGAGGATGCTGGCCCTCGAAGGACCTGTGGGGCGCAGCCGCGTCGCCCATGTCCCCAGGGAGACTTGGGGCCTGGAGAGGGCAGGGCGTCGGGGCATCTGGTCCGACTGCGAGGCTCTTGGAGAAGGATGAGGTGTATTAATGGAGGCTTGTGGGGGTGGCCAGGGCCGGGCCAGGCATGGGTGACAGGCTGAGAGGTGGGTGACCCCGGTGGGGGCTGCAGCCGAGCTGGTGGGAATCCCGCACTGTCGCCCACAGGCCTGGAGATCCACGCGGGGCCTCCCGGAAACCGTGCTTCTGCCTTGCGGGTCCGCAGCGTGGAGAGTCCAACCCCGCGCCCAGGCGCACGCCGGCCCCTCCGCGCCCCCGGTGCGCGCCCTGCACCATGTCTGGTGAGTAGCTTGGTAATATGAACAGCTTCCTGTGTCTTCTGGCTCTGGCGAGGTCGGCCTGCGTTTGGGAGGTCTGTGCTTTGACCAAGTGATTGCCCCAAACCCCAAATCTTCCACTTACTGTCCACCCACCTGGCCGGTGTGTTCCAGACAACGGAGGGTCTCAGCAGCTGCCAGCCAGGTGCGGCCTTTAGAGCTGCAAAGGGGACTGTGAGCTTTCACGATTTTCCTTCTGTGATGTGTAGTCTTGGAAGTTTCAATGGGCTTTTTTGCTTGCTTGCTTGCTTGCTTGCTTGCTTGCTTGCTTTATTTATTTATTTATTTATTTTTGGAGAGGGTTTTGGTATAGGGAGCATGCATTCACCAGAAAGACGGAGACAGAGAGATAGAAAGTGAGAAATCACCCCCGGGGGGATGGCCACACCACAATCCTTTCTCCTCCATTCTCCTCTCAGGATCTTGGGCACACATGCATAAGCGCCCAGCTGGAGTTTCAAGCTGCCTGCCGGGTCCCGGACTTGAACCCCGGTCGAGTATATGGGAGTCCAGTGAAGTAGCCATTATGCCAACTGCTGGCCCCTACATGAGCTTTCTTGGGGATGGCATTTAGCAACTTGACATGGGAAAAGTCTGTGTCCCTCAAAGGCTCCTCAAACTGCGGGTGGACCATGCTTTTCCTTCCTCAGAGTTGAGACCATAAGCTTACATTCTTTTCCCAGTGAAAATCTGGGGTTAAGCCCCCAGGGAGCAGCAGGCTTGGGGAAGGCCCACTGGAGGGAGTTCAGGTTAGGTGTGCCCCAGGGGCTGGCCAGCCCTCTCCGCCTAAGCCCTGGGTTTCTGGGAATTAATATGTACGCTGCTCACTTAGGCAATCCAGAAATGCAAGACCTGTATCCCCAACCCTTAGGAAAGAAAGAAAGATGTCAGTCTTGTTTATTGCCTTTTTTTTTTCTTTTCTTTCTTTCCTTTTTTTTAAATTATGAAGACACTCTTATCCTTTCCTGGTACTAGCCCAGACTTAATCATTTAATATCGTGTTCTTTTATAGATGGATAGATAGATATACATTTTTTTTTTTTGGTAATTTAGCAAAGGGTGTGTGGGATTATTGGAAAGAGACAGAGAGAGAGAGAGAGAGACAGGGGAAAACAAGATCTCGCTGCAGATGGCATATGCTCATGTCCGCAATGCCTTCTCCACATCTGTCCAGACACTCCTTTCAGGATTTGGGGTACACACACACACACACACACACACTTACCCCGAAGTGCATTTTTGAAGCCACTGGGTCTGGGTCTTGAACTGCATGTGCAGCCATGGAGGATCCAGCCTCTTTCACCACCATGCCACCAGCCTGCCCCTGGGGAGCGTTTACAAGCCGGCATTGTCTTCTTCCAGTCCTCGGTGGATGGGCAGGTGGGGGGGGGTTCTATTTTACTTATGGGGAGTGGAGGCACAGCAAACGGGGTGACGAGGGACCTCTTCCACCTAAGGGCTTCTTTTCTTTGGCTGTATACCGAGTAGTGGGGTTACTGGGTCATGACCTGGTTCTGTTCGTTTTGTTTTCTTTAGTTTTTGTGATAGGGTGTGTGCAGTCGAGAGAGAGAGAGAGAGAGAGAGGAGAAGAGAAATCACTCCCCAGGGAGGATGGCCACACTGTAATCCCCTCTCCTCCATTCTCCTCTTAGGATCTTGGGTACGCACACGTACGCACACACACATGCACACGCGGGGTGTGATTTTTGTTCTTTTAGAGGTTTTTGCCATGGGGCGCGTGCACTTGCGGAGAGAGAGTGACAGAGACAGAGAGAGAGAAAGTCGGGGGGAACAGCCACACGGCAGTCCTTTCTCCTCCAATCTCCTCTTGGGATCTTGAGCACGCACACGCACCGGCGTGAGTTTTAAGCCGTCAGGTCCGGGACTGGAACTGTAGAGTCGGCCATGTGGTCTAGCTGTCCTCATGCTGGCCCTGTTTTCAGTTTAGTTGTTGCTGGGCTTTTTTTTTTTTCCTTCCTGATGTTTTGCCGTAGTGTGTGGTTGCCAGAGTGAGAGAGAGAGAGAGGGAGAGTGAGCAATCACTCCCCGGGCAGATGGCCGCACTGCAATCCCTTCTCCATTCTCCTGGGATTTACGATACTTATTAATTGTTTAAGAGAGATTTTTGCCATAGGGCACGTGCGCTCACCAGACAGACAGAGAGGGACAGAGAGACAGAAAGGGAGAAATCACCCCCAGGGGGGATGGCCATGCCGCAATCCCTTCTCCTCCATTCTCCTCTCAAGATCTTGGGTACACATGCACACGCGCCTGGCGTGAGTTTTTAGCTGCTGAGTCTGGGACTCGAACCGTGGTTAACTACACAGGAGTCCAGTAATGTCCCCTTTTCCCCAAAAGCCCTGCAGTCCTTATTGTTCCCTGTTTAATTCTCACTAGCCATAAATCAGGTTCCTTCTTATCCACACGTAGGAACTGGGAGATCCCTGAGTGGCTTCGCTCCTTTCCCCCTCGCTTGAGCTTTAGAAAAAACAAATGCTCAGGTTAGAGGCAGAAAGGGCTGTTTTCAAGGGACTGAAAGCGTGGTCAGAACCAGCTCTGAGAAGCAGCAGAAAACATGGTCTGTTCTCACACAGGCTTGGAACTGTGCAGGGAGACCGCAGGTCTCTCTGCGCGGTGCCCAGGGCTGGGATAATAGCAGCTTTCAGTAGCCTCCTGCAGCCCACCCCGTCCGCCTTGGAATGTGCGGGGAGATGGCCAGGAAACAGCAGCCACCTTTGAATGAGGACGGAGCCGGGCAGGAGAGGCAGCTGCTGATGTTATTTTGGGGGGCAGTCGGAAGGCGGGTGGGGTCCAGGAAGCCAGCGAGGGGTGGGAATAAACATTCCTCACCCAGGTCTCGCTAGGAAGCTCGAAGCCACTGAGGACCCAGGCAGAGTCCTGGTTTTCTTTCTGTATTCCTACCTGGCTGGAAAAGCCTGCAGGCGGGCACCGCTTTGGGTGGGAAATCTCTCTGTAACTCTGACAGCCTTGGAACATGGTGGCGTGACGCGAAAACTTCGTCGTCAGTGGGTTTTTCTTTTTCTTTCTTTCTTATTTTTTTTGGAGAGCTTTTTGCTATAGGGTGCGTGTGCTCGCCAGAAAGACAGAGAGACAGAAAGAGAGAAATCACCCCCAGGGGGAATGGCCACACCACAATCCCTTCTCCTCCATTCTCCTCTCCAGATCTTGGGCGTGCACGCACACGCACCTGGAGTGAGTTTAAGCCGCTGGGTCCGGGACTCGAATCACGGTCGACTACATGGGAGTCTAGCGACGTAGCCATTATGCCAGCTGCTTGTCCCCATAATCACTGGATTTTTAAATGATAATCAGGGGACCAGCAAATGGCGTAATGGACCCCCATGTAGTCGACTGCAATTGGAGTCCCAAACCCTGTGGTTTAAAACTCAAGCCAGGTGCATGTGCGTGCGTGCCCAAGATCCCGAGAGGAGAGTGGAGGAGAGGAGAAGGGATTGCGGCGTGGCCATCCCCCAAGAGGGTGATTTCTTGCTTTCTGTCTGTCTATGTCTCTCTGACGAGTGCACACGCCCTGTAGCAAAAATCTCTCTCTCTAAAAAAAAAGAAGTGACAATTAGTGCATGCATGCACACCTGCACAGGGGACTCGATGACCCCGACAGAGAGACGAACACCTCGGAGAGGGTCTTGTCTCATGCAGTCCCGTTTCCCAGCCCCCTAGCTTATCAGGATCTTAGTGCTCATGTGGGAGGCCGACTGGGGTAGGTGAGCTGTGGTCAGCCATGTGGTTTCCAGCACTGCAGTCCAGCGTGCTAAGAACTGCGCCTATTTGGGGCCAGCAGGTGGTGTGGTGGTTATGTCTCTGGACTCCCACATGAATGATCACAGTTCAAGTCCTGGACCTGGCAGCTTGCTTTCTTACTCTCTCTCTTGTGAGTGCGTGTGCCTCATAGCAAAATTAAAAATAATAACAAACGAAAATTAAATACGTGATTCATAAGATAACAGTAAATAGCAGGGTGTTCAGTTGTCAATGGTTAGTCTGCACGCCCTTTCCCAGATCTTGTCCTGGGCATCTTGTTCTGAGCCCATTCAGTTGAATCTTCTTCTCTGTAGATGTGCACTGAGACCTTTTATGTAATATTCATGGGACCTTCTTTGGACCCTGCAAGAACCCCCCCAAAGCTCCATAGAACTCTTGAGGTCAAAGAAAACTTCTTGGACCAGCCAGTGGCGTGGTGGTTAAGGTAGCTGGATCCCACACGGCCAACTGTGGGGTTCCAGTCCTGGACTTGGTGGCTTGAAAAAACATGGCGGGCGTGTGTGCGTGCGTGCCCAAAATCCCGAGGGGAGGATGGAGGAGAAGGGATTGTGGGGTGGCCACTCCCAAAGAGAGGTGATCTCTCTGTGTCTCTGTCTCTAATGAGCACACACGCCCTATGGCAAATTAAACGTGTGTGTGTGTGTGTGTGTGTGTGTATGTGTGTGTGTGTGTCTACACTCCCCAGAGCACCTTGGTGGTTCAGCCTCTCTGACTACATCTCTTTCCCGCACTCCTCGCTGTCAGACTCGGGGTACGCGGGGCTGGGTTGCATTCTGAGAACGCTGGACGCCCCCTCTGGTCTGTCCTCCACGCTGCCCGCGTGCTGGCCTTGCTGTGTGAGCTGCGGTTATTGTCTGGGGTGGGAGGCAGGTTTGTGATGGCGTCCTGGACTGTGGAGTTAGTTGCCAAAGCCCTAGTTGTCTCTGAAGTGCATTGCAAGGCTGGTTGGGGGATGCATGACAGGGCGAATGCTCTCTCTGCCCTCCACAGCCCTTCCTAGATGGACAGCCTTAGCATGCATGAGTATCCATCAGCTGGTTGCTTGATCGATGAGTTCCTTCCGGCCGTTCAGCTCTCAGCGTAGATGGTGCCCGTCAGAAACCTCTGCAGCCTGAGGTTTGCTCTTTCTTAGAGCAGTTGCCACGCAGTTCTGAAGCAATTGCTTGTTTTGTTTGTTTGTTTGTTTTCCTTTCTTATTGGCTGGAGGGCAGGGTGTGTGTGGAACCCTGGGGCTCCCTGGGCAACCCCCAACCCCTGGGAGCTGGAAGAGGAGGAAGGAGCCTCCCCTGGAGCTGGAAGAAGAGGAAACAGCCTCCCCTGGGGTCCTGGGAGCTGGGAGAGGAGGAAGGAGCCTCCCCCGGGAGCTGGGAGAGGAGGAAGGAGCCTCCCCTGGGAGCTGGGAGAGGAGGAAGGAGCCTCCCCTGGGAGCTGGGAGAGGAGGAAGGAGCCTCCCCTGGGAGCTTGGAGCTGGGAGTGGAGGAAGGAGCCTCCCCTGGGAGCTGGAGAGGAGGAAGGAGCCTCCCCTGGGAGCTGGGAGAGGAGGAGGGAGCCTCCCCTGAAAGTCTGAGAGCAGCCCAGCAGTCAGCACAGTGGCTAGAGTTGCCATGGGAAACAAAGAGGCCGCCCAGGGGACGTCGTGATGGGGAGGTGGTTGGTGCAGGTCCTGGGGCTGTGCATCCAGCCAGCCTGGGTGTTAGGACAGGGGACGTTTCTGCACTTCCTGTTTCTGCACTCTTCTTATCCATGCCATTTGATTCTTGGCGTGTGGGAAATATATATTCTCTGTCTCCAGTCTTGCAGAAGAATGCTGAGTATGGGGCTATCAGGTGGCGTGGTGGTTAAGGTGCTGGTTTTCCACATGGCGGACAGCAGTTCGAGTCCCAGACATGGAGGTCTGAAGATCACATCGGGGTAGGGTGCTTCCTGTCCTATGGAAAACCACATCGAAAGCGTGTGCGTACGTGCCTCAGATCCCAAGAGGAGCATGGAGGAGGAGGGATGATGGCGTGGCCGTCCCTCTGAGGTGTGATTTCTCGTTCTCTGTCTGTCTCTCTCTTTCTGGTGAGTGCGGATACTCTATAGCAAAAAAATCTCTAAAAAACCCAGAATACTGATTAGAATAATAGGAGTTTTTGTTTGTCTGTCTGTTGCTTGAATCTTCCTTTTTTTCCTCACTTAAATTTATTTATTCCATGAGAGAGACAGAGAGAGATGGACAGAGAGAGACAGAGGAGAGAATGAGAAAGACAGAGAATCAACGTCTACTCTGGAATGTCTGGTACCTGTGGAGTCCCTTCTCCCTCCCATAAATTCTTATATTGTTAAAGAATCATTGTATTTAACTTTATTTATTTATTTATTTTAATTTGACCAGAGAGGGACAGAGTGACAGAGAGAAAGAGAGAGAGAGAGAGAGAAGGAAAGTGAGAAAGCAAGTCTCCAGGTCTGGGACTCGAACCACGGTCGGCCACGTGGGAGTCCAGCGCCCTTAACCACCACCTGCCAGCCCCCCCGCCCCAGTCCCAATAATGTTCTAGTTTTCTCCTGTATTGACAGCTTTTTCCCAACCTCCAAGTAATCTTTACATCTCAAAGATTGCATTCAAACATGAGCTCAGTGTGCAGCTCCACCCCGGGGCGGGGGTTGCAGACCTGTCTGAATCCGTCAAGGTTACGTTACAGGCTAGGAATGCCCCTTCTGCGAGGGGGTGCTTTTCTCCTGGTGCCTGTCCCAGTTCGCTTTTGCAATAAGAGAATATGCCTCTAAAGAACAGGTGTTTGGTTCATGCCTTTGCAGGCTGGGAGGTCTGCAAACATGTGGACACCCAGCGAGGAATGGGTGGGCCACCCCGTGGGTGGCTACCGGAAGGAAGGTCGGAGTGGACAAGACAGAGAGAGAACGGGGCTGAATTCGCCATCCTCCCCTGCTTGTTTGTATGTTTGCTGCTGCTGTAGGGCATGTCTCTCTCACTGGGGAGAGACAGAGACAGACACAGAGAGGGAATGTGAGAAATCACCCCCCGGGGGGATGGCCACACCGCCGTCCCTTCTCCTCCATTCTCCTCTCGGGATCTTGGGCACGTACGCACACGCACCTGGTGTGATTTTTAAGCTGCTGGGTCCAGGATTCATACCCTGAAGTTGGCAATGCGGGATCCAATGTCTTAACCAGCATGTCATTGCTAGTCCCAATCCTCCTTTTTTAATTTTTTTTTGCTCTAGGGTATGTGCACTCAACCAGAGACACACACAGAGACAGAAAGAGGGAAAGTGAAAAATCACTCCATTATGGGGGGGGGGGGCCACACGGCAACCTCTTCTCCTCCATTCTCCTCTTGGAATTTTGGGCACATATACACACGATGTGATTTTTCAAGCCACCAAGTCCAAGACTCGAACCCCAAAGTTGGCCATGTGGGATCCGATGATTGGTAGATGTCATTGGTAGATGGTAGATAGGGAGGGAGATCAATGATTGATGGGTATGACTGATAGGTGGTAGGTAGATATCTAGACAGATGTGGTTGATAGATGGTAGATTGAGAGGTCGATATATCAATGATAGATGGATGTGATTGATAGGTGTCGATGGGTAGATAGCTAGATAGATGTGAGTAATAGTAAATAGACAGATGGGTGTGATCAATCGATAGTAGATGGAAAGATCAATCCATGATAGATGATTGATACATAGATCAGACATGTAGATGAGAGATAGCACTGATAGATGACAGATTGATCCGTGGTAGAGAGCTGCGTAAGAGTGACAGGTGGTAGACAGATACCCGGCTAGATGTGGCTGATGGGTCGTAGATTGATAGGTGGGCAGATCAGTGTCTGTCTGTGTGTCCTCTTCCGAGTGTGCATACCAGGGATTCCCTGCCTCCCTAATCCACACGGTGGGGCCGACCCTGGGCAGAGCCTGTGCTAACAGGCATTTGGAATTCACCCCTTGGAATGTGAAGGTCAAAGAGACAGCCCGGGGAACTCAGAGAGGGAAGCGTGTGTGTTATATTTACTGAGAACGTGTGCCTTTGGGTCCGTGCACGCGGCCACTGTTGGGAGGGGTGCTGCAGGCTGGAAAGGGGAACACTCTGGTCTTTGAGATCGGCAGGTCTGAGTGTTCCCGCTCCCAGTGACACTGAGCAGATTTCAATGTCTGCAGACCACCCGCCAGCCGGTACACCGTGTGCAGCCTGCTCGCATGGCCCTTCTCCCTCCCCACGGTTGCATCCATGTGGCAATGAGCTCTTGCACACCCGAGTCAACACGTTGACATTGGCATCCTTCTAGTCGTAGACCTGCCGCATATTGGAGGTGCTGTTTGACACTCTCATCCCCGTGAGATGTTTGACAGCAGAATATTGGGCTCAGGGAACAATCTAGGTTCCCTTCTCCTGTCTCAGAAGCCTCACGCCTCCTGAGTTGAACTCATCCTGACGACAGGTCTGTGTGCAGCTCGATGAACACAGGGCAATGCTTTGTCGCCGAGCACAGGTGTTTCGTGCCCAGTGGGCGTCTTTGTTCTAACTCAGGTATTCAGAGCAGGGCTCCCAGGTTTCTGCTGTTTTGTTTGCTTGGTTTCATCTAGGATCAAAGGGGGGGGGGGGAGCCGATACGTCTCAGTGCAAGAGGAAATAAGGGGCCGCTACGCTAGGAAATCCTCGTAGCAGTCTGGTGGACCTCGTCTGATCTGTGGTTCCTTTGCACTCT